GAGGGGGAGGACAGTGGGGGGGGGAGAATGATGGTCAATAAAAGTTGACTGCTCACAACGACCCATCTGCTCAAAGATCCAAACAGAGACGAGAACAGTGTCCTCTGACAGAGGGCTGTGTTGTTCTGAATGTGTGTGTGTGTGTGTGTGTGTGTGTGGGTTCAAATCCCTGAGGAAACACAGGTCAGATTTACAGGGTTCAGATATACAGGGTGTAAGGATGTGCCGCCGTCTGTCCAACAGTCCGGACCTGGAGGCCATTTTGTAGTGTTGAGATAAAAGATTTAATCAAACAGCTCTACTCCGAGGCCACACGGTGGAGGATGACGGTAGTGCACCTTCCTCGTCTTGACTTTACAGGTCATGAGTGTGTGTTTACCTGCAGCTTCTCCAGTTTCCTCTCATCGTCAAACAACAGAATCGGGTCAAATCTCCACTCTGTCGTTAGGTGTGAAACCGAGCGTGAATGGCGCCCTCTGTGTGTGAACGTGAGCCGTGTTAACCCCCCCGAGCCACGACCCACATTTTTTCTAAGTTCAATCATTATTTCTGAGTTTGTTTGGATGAAAACTTCAAATATAATATAATATATAACGGACCATGTTTGCTAAAAGCTAATCCTCAGTTGGCAGGATGTCGACTTCAGACACTGCCCACCTGCCAGTCGGCCTCAGAGCAGAGGTCAGAGGTCAAAGGTGACTCAGTTCAGTTCAGTTCCAGACAGAGAGTTTATTATTTCCGTGTTTACTATTTCCTCTTAATAATCCCAGATTATTAACCTGAGAGGAGGTGATTTTACAGAGACCAGCAGAGGCAGTAGAGAGCAGAGAAAATAGACCCATAAACCTGGGCGTTACAGTGAGAGGGTAAAGGTCAACACGTACCTTTACTGTTTAACTAGTTATTGTTAAAGTACTGCAGTGATACTACAGAGTACACAGAGGAAGTGCAGCTGTCAGTACTGGACCACACCAACTGACAGACCCACAGACACGGCTCCCATTGAGGCTGAGCTTCAACAGGGTTTAATACACGTCACTGCTACAGGAAGTGGAGACTGACCGACGTCAACCAACCAATCAGAGTTGATCAGGTTTTAGTCGTTTACTGTAGTCAATACAACTGCAGAGATTTGACCTTTGACCTGAGAACATTTCAACAGACACTGAGCTTCAGAACAGTCATCACACTGTGTGTGTGTGTGTGTGTGTGTGTGTGTGTGTGTGTACACAGTGCAGCTGTGGGACGGTGGAGCAGTGGTGAGTCATTCCTCCAGGCCCTGAGTCTTATTTCTGTAGTTTCCCTCCGCCTTCAGTTTCAGGATGCCCCCGGAGGTCATCTGACAGAATACAAGGTGTGTCTGTGCGACATGACGAGAGCGTGGGGGAGGGGGTGTGGGGGGGGGCTCGACCTCTGACATCCACGACTCAAATATAACTCAGTTATATTATTATATATCACATCGTTAGAAGAGAGAAAAAAAATTAGATTTCTGCTAAAAATAATGTAAAAAAGTCGTCGATTTTGACTGAAACCATCTGTGACTCAGAGCATGTTATATAACCTAAAGGTTGAACTCCTGCCTACGTGTGTGTGTGTGTGTGTGTGTGTCATTTCTTCTGTAACACTATCCCTCACCACACCCAGTGAAGCTGCTGCTGCCGTCACGCTGGGAAATCCACTGAAATAAGAAAGAAATCTTTGACTTCTGTCTGAGTGGGTGTGTGTGTGTGTGTGTGTGTGTGTGTGTACTTTGAAAAGTTGTGAAGTTCAGTTCCTGATTTTCCTGTTTTTTGTTTCTAAACAACAATATTTTCTTTCCACCCTGCGGAGCCTTGATAAACGTCAGAGTGTGCGTCGGCCCAGCTCGCTGCAGGGCTGAGAGTTGGCTGAGTTAAAGTGTATCATGGTGTCGTCGTCTGTTCTGCCTCAACAGCAGCTCCGTCTGAGGATGTTGTGACAGATCCACGGTCACACAGAGGGACCAGCCGCTGCTCCACAGGCCCACCATGGCTCCGCTGACCCCTGCTCTGATCCTCCTGGGCCTGGGCCTCTGCTTCCTCCATTCTTTAAATGCCCAAACCATCACAGGCTCCTCCCCCTCTCCCTCCCCCTCCCTCCCCCCCCCCCCCCCCCCCCTCCTTGACCCGCCAACACATTCTTCACCAACCAAGCGGTCCGCCGACATCTGGCTCAGTGACGTCTCCGTCAGAGGTACAGTGGAGCAGGGGGGGTCACTGCCCCCGGTGACCTCTGACCCCACAGAGACAGCCACCAGGGGGACCAGGACTCAGAGGACCGTCCTCAGGCCGAGGACAGAGACGACTGGTGCAGCAGTGGGCCGGTCCTCGGTGAAGAACGGTCTCCCCTCAGAGGGTTCGACTCCAACTCCGCCCACTTCACGCTTCACACCTTTTCTCATGGGTAAACCGGTGGAAACACGTGACCCGACGGAAGAACCCGACTCAGAGTCAGAGTCCGCTGACTCACAGGGTCTGGGCTCAGGTGGTACCCCGACAGGGTCGAGAGTCCGGGATGAAATGGCTCAGTATGGACAGCAGGTGGAGACTGCGAGCCCCAGAGTGAAGACACCAGAGGACGGTCAGAGACTGAAGCCGACCCGGTCGGTTCTTACCGCGGCCCGTCAGACACTGACTACGGTTCAGTCTGAAACCAGAACCACTCTGGAACCTGGACCTGGACCTGGACCTGGAACGTCCACAGGTGAGAAACAGAGAGATGACATCATCATAATGTTGTCCCTCAATGTGTTGTTGGTTCAATTCCCTTCTTGTTTTCTCCGGTCACAGACCACAGCTGTAGAGGACTTGGTACTGTTATACAGAACTGTTGAATGACTGGTCAGAACCTCGGTCCACGGGACATTTTCATGTCACCAGGTGTTTGTTGACCTGAACAGAGATTAAATGTCCCTCCTGTGTCTCAGGTGAGCGGACAGACACCGGACCCCCCATCGAAGTTCCCCCTCAGCAGGACTCTCCTGCGGGGACGACCAGCACCGCTGCAGATCCACAGACGCAGCCACAGACACAACCCACGGCGGTGCCAGCCGCTGCCCCGAGCCACAGCAGTCCGGTCTCCGGCCCCCGGACACCACCCCCCCCCACCACCACATCTACAGCCGGCGGGCCGAGCACCACGCCGAAGGTCGCGAACACAACCTCCGTGGCGTTAAACCGAGTCAGCAACGCCAAACAACCAGGACGGAACCCGGCGCCAACGACAGGTAAGAACTGTTGGTGCCAGTTGGTTAATTTAACGGCGCGGAGTTTGTGCAGCTGGGAGTTCGTTACTGCGGGAAAAAGATTCCAATGGAAAATTTAGACTGAGTTTTCTCCATGGAAGCTGAGCTGGAGATGGAGTTGATGCAGCTGCGAAAAAAGGGGGGGTCGAGGGGGGGGGAGGGAGTCAAAGAGAGG